AGGAATTACTAAGAACTGAATGAAGGTCCAACATGTTAGTGGGACAGGAGGAAAGTGAGAGGTCCACATTGAGACACTGAACGGAGATAGGATTGAGACAAAGAACGTTTTAGGTTAAGAGCAGCTTTATTAGGGTAGGGAAAGCATTCCCAGGAGGGAAGGGAGAGCAGAGAAAGGGACAGGAGCATCTTGAGCTCCTGGGCAGGTTCCGACACCCAGCGAGTAAGGTCAGGGAAATCTCACCCGTGGGTGGGGCGGTGGGATAGTTGTAGGATTTGGGTCAGGGAAATATGCAAGTGAGGTGGAGAGAGCTGCTGGTGCCTGTGCCAATAAGGAGAAGGGAGGCTTCCTGGTGCTGCAGCTGCAGAGTCTGAGTCCCTCACAGACCAGCTTCTTGGAATGTGGAGGAAGAGGCAGCACAGTCCAGCTCTGGCCTGGAGAGGTGGGGCCAAGGGGCTATGTGGACCCTGCCCTGAGAGAGAAGCTCCTTGGAATGCTGGAGGCAGGGGCTGGGAAGTCCAGCAGATCAGCAGTCTTTCTGAGAGGCTGGGGGAAGGGGCTGCGTGGTCCGGACCCAGCCCAAACAGAAAGTAAAAGAAAATAGAGGGAAGAATGAGCAGGCAAAAGACATTTATAGAGGTATAAATTTAGGTGTGTATATATGTAAATATATTAATATCTAATGATAGCAATATAGGTCTATGTACCTATATTTATATGTTAAGTATCAAGGTAGCAGACAAACATTGGGCCTCTATTCAAGTTCTTCCCCAATGAAAGAACACTTTGTTCTAATAACCTGGCATTCGGTGATGCTCACCTTCCCCACATGATCGCTGAAGACAAAATAGGTGCACAGGCAAACGTGGGTAAGAAAGCTGATGGTGCCCGGCTATTAGAAGCTATAGCATCTGGGGTCTTAAAGGCTTGAAGCTAAACAAGCGGCCATCTAGCAGGGAAGATACAAAGGTCACATGGAAGAAGCACACCACCCTGTGTGATTATGGACATTCAGGACAAATAAGCCCCTCAGGAACAATAATGGGAGTAGCAAAACCATGAGGGTAGGGGGAAGATGGGGGGAGATAGAGGGAACCAATCACAATGATGAATGTATCGCACCCCCACCCCCCTGGGGGTGGCGAACAACAGAAGCATGACTGAAGGGAGACAGTGGATGGTATAAGGTATGAATATAATAATAAAAATTATAATTTATCAAGGGGTCATGAGGGTGGAAGAGGGAGGGAGGGAGGGAGGAGGAAAAAAGAAGAGCTGATACCAAGGGCTCAAGTAGAAAGCAAATGTTTTGAAAATGATGATGGCAACATATGTACAAATGTTTTTGATACAATTGATGTATGGATGTAAGAGCCACCAATAAAATGATTTATATATTTAAAAGAAAAAACAAATAAAAGCAACAACTACTGGTGCATGTTTATTATGTATGTTCTCAACAAATAAAATCCAAAGGGAAAAAAATCTTCCTTTCTCAAATATATATAAAGAACATGGTTCTGAAATTGATTCTGGTGATGCATGCACACCTCTTCTATATGATTGAACTGTTAAGCTATTTTAAACTATTTAAAATAGTTTTATTGGCATACGTGAATTGTATGCCAATAAAACTACTAAAAAAAATAACATGGGTAGGAGGGCAAAGGATTAGTGGTAGATCAATACATCGCAGTTATAGGTGGGACTACTGAAGCGGGAACAGACCATGATTGGGACACCTGCATTCTGTTAGACAGAAGAGCTTACAAGATTGATTGAGGGCTTTTAGATGAAGGCAGTCAAGCCGTGACTTATGACTACATGATACCAATACAGCAGTTTTCCTCACGGACACACCAGGAAAGCCCTAAGGCTGGTTAGTGGGGTGGATGTAATCCACTTTCTAATGTGCTCTGCCTGAGGGCACAACGGTTCACATTCCTGGTTAACGGTCCAGAGGAATTTGGTGGAGACTAATCTACTTTGGGTCTCTAGGGATGGATTTTGTGTTTTCACTGATTTCCATGGTGTTGTGGTTGCTGGGTGCCATCCAGTCAGTTCTGACCCAGAGCGCCTTTGTGCACAATAGAGAAAACCGTCACCCTGTGCTGCACCACACTCACAACTGTTCTTATGCCTGAGCCCACTGTTGCAGCCACTGTATCGGTCCATCTCCTTGAGTCTGAAATTGTCGAGGATTTATGTCTTGCTTGGGTCCACAATCAATGCTCTTGGAAGCGGCAGTCACGAGATCAAAAGACACACTGCATTGGGTAAACCTGTTATCCAGAGCCTTCTGTAAACCTGGTGCTTAGAATTAAGCTCTAATACAATCACTATATAACAAAGACAACAACTGAAAATCACTGAGTACTCTGTGTATGTACCAGGCATATCAATTTTAAGAGAATTAACCAAATTATAACAATCCTATAAATTGGGTGATATTACTATCACTTTTCTCATATTACAAATGGGGAAACTGGGTTTGGAGAAGTAAGTAACTTGTGCAAGGTCTCATGTGTAGTAAGTGTTTGGGCCGGGTCCGGACCACGCAGCCCCTTCCCCCAGCCTCTCAGAAAGAAGGCTGATCTGCTGGACTTCCCAGTCCCTGCCTCCACCATTCCAAGGCACTTATCTCTCCAGGCAGGGTCCACACCGCCCCTTGGCCCCGCCTCTCCAGGCCAGAGCTGGACTGTGCTGCCTCTACCCCCACATTCCAAGAAGCTGGTCTGTGAGGGACTCAGACTCTGCAGCTGCAGCACCAGGAAGCCTCCCTTCTCCTTATTGGCACAGGCACCAGCAGCTCTCTCCACCTCATTTGCATATTTCCCTGACTCAAATCCTACAACTATCCCACCGCCCCACCCACGGGTGAGATTTCCCTGACCTTACTCGTTGGGTCTCAGAACCCGCCCAGGATGGTCCTGTGTCTTTCTCTGCTCTCAAGGTCATTAAAAAGAAGGAAAGTCTAAGACACTGTCTCAGCCATAGAAGCTTAAGGATATATAAGCTTAAGGATATATAACAGGTAAACATCAACATGGCCTCAAGGCACACTTCCTGATCCTGGGACAGCCAAATGAACTCACTTGACAATAGTGGCTATAACAATGGGGTCAAACATAGCACTGATTGTGAGAAGGGTGCAGGACCTGGTAAGGTGTCATTTTGTTATCACTATGTGTAGGAATTGACTCAATGACACCTAACAGACACACAACAAAAACATGATGTAGGACTAAGCAGTCCTTAGTCTCATTGTGCCTGCAGTCCCCACAGGATGGCAGCTGACAACAGATGAGTTAGCATCCTACTCCACTTTAGGAAGATTACTTAACTTCTTTGTACATCTTTTCTCATTATCCCTAATGTGAGAGTTACAACAGGAGAGCCATTGTCATCAGACTGTGAACGGCAAAGATACAGTGTGTCAGGTGCTCGGCCTTGTGCCTGGCACGAGGTTCTCAATAAATGCTAGCATTGACTGTTGTGCTCTGTATTATTCATTTCACATGCACATTTCTTTCCCTGACAACATTTAATATAAACATTTCGTTAACTAGGTTATCAGATATCAATAAAGATGAAAGGAAGCGTTATTACAGAGGGAGTCACTACTGGGACCTGGTATTACACAATACTGAAGAATCAAAGGGAAGAATTTGAAATGAGATATATTTAGAAACTAACCTTATTGAAGTTAATTTACATCCCCAACTCCTAGCCCCTAGCCCCTGGCAACAACGGATCTACTTTATGCCTATAGAGATTTGCCTTGTATAATTTTTTGAATTGGGTAATAAAAGGATGTCTAGCAAAAGAAGCTATTTAGGGACATATTCAACAGATTTATTTTTCTTTTTCATCATTTTATTGGGGGCTCTTACAGCCCTTATAACAATCCATTGTATCAAGCACATTTATACATATGTTGCCATCATCATTTTCAAAACACTTTCTACTTGAGCCCATAGTATCAGCTCCTCTTTTTTTCCCTCCCGCACCTCCCACCCTCGTGACCCCTTGGTAAATTATTATTTTCACATCTTACACCGTCCGCTGACTCCCTTCACCCACGTTTCTGTTGTTCGTCCCCCTGGGGGGTGGAGGCTGTTGGATATCGATCATTGC